TCCTGCAATCCTCAGCCAGCAAAAACGGAGCTCAGGAAGGCGACATGCAGTAATCCTGAGCTCCATTTTCACTGGCAGAGGCACCACGGGCCAATCCTTCGCTGTTTCCAGGGTGGTCCCGTGGGCCGGATCTAAGCACGGGCCGAATCCGGCCCCTGGGCCTTGAGCTGAAACATATAAAGAACGGTTGCAGGAACTGGGCATGCCTAGTCTGCTGATGAAAAGAAGAACTGGGGTGACATGATAGCCGTGTTCCAATATCTCAGGAGTTGCCACAAAGAAGAGGGAGTCAAACTATTCTCCAAAGCAACTGAGGGCAGAACAAGAGGCAATGGGTGGAAACTAATTAAGGAGAGAAGCAACTTAGAACTGAGGAGAAATTTCCTGACAATTAGAACAATTAATCAGTGGAACAGAAGTTGCCTCCAGGAGTTGTGAATGCTCCAACACTGGAAGTTTTTAAGAAGATGTTGGATAACTGTTTGTCTGAAGTGGTGTAGGGTTTCCTGCCTAGGCAGGGGGTTGAACTAGAAGATCTCCAAGGTCCCTTCCAACTCTGCTATTCTATATCCCCCCCCCCCATATTAACCTCTGACAGAGGTGTGCCTATTCTCTCCTATTCTAAGGGAAAGGCAGAGAGTGGCCACCTATTCAGTTAAGAGAACATCTGTCATAGAATCAGATCATGCCCTATTCCCACCCCGAGTGCCAGACAGCTGTGCCCTTTTCCAGATGATGCCACTCATCTTGTGTGGCAGAAGCCAAACTGGAAATGTTTCTCGTTTCTCCGGACTTTGCGTTCCCAGAAATGGAGAGAATCAGGCCAAGCTTTGTCTCTTCATCCCGCCAGTCTCCAATACTTAGTTTCTTGCTTACTAAGACCTTTAGCCTCCCATCTTCTGGAGACTGGCCGTAAAAGGCTAGCCTCGTAACTTGAAAGGCTTGCCTGTCAACTGGGCAATTTGGGGACAATCACCTCTGGGATGAACTTTGTGTACACATCTCCAGTTGCCCCAAACTGCCGGTCTCTGTTTAGGGAAGCCTTAAAGTAGGAAGTGGTGCTTTGCAGATCAACTGACCCTGATTGAAGTCTCCCTCCCTTCCAAGGGCTGAGAGAGGGATCGGGAAAAGCCGAGGGCCCTATAGCTGGGGGCACCAGGTCCCTCAAAAGCACACCTGGCCACTAAATCCCTCCAACCCACAGCCTCCCATGGCGCCATCATCACAGCTCACCCACCTCGGTCCTCAGGTCCAGGCTGACGCTGAGCACCACTACGGCAAGCAGGCCCCCCCGCAGCATCCTGGCAAGTCTGGGCCACCGACAAGGATCCTCGGAGAAAAGGCAGCGCCAAGGCACACGCTCCCTCTTCATTCACTCTACTGATATCACACACCAATCAGACTGCACCAACACCATATCCTGGTTTATCATTTACTGGGAGATAGCATTCTTGCCATGCTGGCTTAGTCCCCACCTACCTGTTCCCCCCAACCCCCGGCTTATTTGGAATCTTGGCTTTGACCAGCTGGGAAACTGAGGCATGCCTTAGCAGCAAGCTCTGAGCGAGAGAAGGGATTGATAGTGGCAGTTGCCTTGAGCCTACTAGCCAGATACCTGAGGTTTATAATCTTATACCAGGCCTTTCTTCCTATAGATACAATATATATATATACCACTTTATAATGCCTTGGGAAGGTCACACTTGGAATCCTGCATTCAGTTTTGGTCGCCACGATGTAGAAAATATGTGGAGACTCTAGAAAGAGTGCAGAGAAGAGCAAGAAAGAGGATTAGGGGACTAGAGGCTAAAACATATGAACAACAGTTGCAGGAACTGGGGGATGTGTAGTTTAATGAAAAGAAGGACCAAGGGAGACATAATAGCAGTCTTCCAATATCTCAGGGGCTGCCCCAAAGAAGAGGGAGTCAAACTATTCTCCAAGGCACCTGAAGAAAGAAAAAGAAGCAATGGGTGGAAAC